CGGAAAGAATGGGGAGGCTGCGGCACCCATCTCGGCAAGGGAGACAGGAGGATGAGCAGCTTCAGGGAAGATGCTGAGTTGAACGGGGCCCTGTTGGATCCGAGCTGCTCGTGGAGCGGGAGGAGGCAGCTGGCTGGAAAGAGTGGGGCTGGAGCACAGACCTGGTGTGGAGGATGAGGAGGGGCAGAGGTGGAGGATGGCGCCTGGAGACTGCCAGCCTCCTCGGGTGGGCCAGGACGATGTGCCGGGGTAGCTGTGCTGAGTCAGGCACAGAGCCCACATCGGTGCTTGGGGGCTCCCGGGGATGGTGGGAGCCGGCGTCCTCACAGCAGGAGTCTTCAAGCATGACTTGGCAGAGACGCCTGGGCCTCCCTCAAGGGGACTGAGTCATCCCACGTGGGGGCGGGAGCTGTGGAGGACACCCGTTGCCAGGGCCATCCAGACACTCATCAGGATCATAAACACGGCTCCAGCGAGGCGGCCCGGGGATGTCAGGGCCACCTTCTGTGTCTGGCCTGGGTGGCTGCCACCTCTGTGGCTGTCCCTTCTGGTGGGTCCTAGGCTGGTCAGGGCTGTCCGTCCTCTCACCTGGACATAGCTGGTCCCCTGCTCGGAATGAGCCCTGACCAGGGCCTGAAGCCCTCCCAGGCGGAGCTGCTTGAACCTCGAGGATGGCTGCAGGGTCTGCCTGCTCTGCCCTGCTCTGGGACTCCTTTGAGGGATGCAGCTGCATGGGGCATGTCCTAAGAGGCCAGGCCAAGCAGGCATCTGGAGCCAGGGGCCCACATTCCTTGGGAGTGGCCAGACACTTGTAGGGTGGGGCACAGCCTGGGAGGAGAAGCCCAGTGGGAGGGCGGGGTATGTACCAGGCCATCCTGGACCCGGGGGCAGAGGTGGGGTTGTACTTGTACATCAAGGCTCTCTTGGAGGCTTCCAGACACGGACACGTCCCAGCCCCACAGTGCCCCGGCACGAGCTACTTCCGTGTCCACAGCTCATTCTGTTCTTTCTGTAGACCTGGGAGCTGGCAGGATGACGACCATCTGTTTCATTCACATATTAGGAAACTGAGGCTCCAGGAGGCATAATGTTGTCCAAGGCAGCGGACTCCCTAGTCTGGGAGGACAGAACTGGAGTATTTTTCCCAAAGAGGGAGGGCTTGAGTCTGGCTCATGGCCGCAGGACTGTGCCAGTGCCTGGGGAGCCCACGTGCCCGTGGGAGTCCTTGCTGTGCCATGGGCCTGGGCCCCAGCCTGTCTGTTCGTCTCTCTGTTTGCCTACATGGCCCTAGTTATCCACCGAATTAGTTTCTACAAAGTATCTACTGAGGCCTGAGCTTGGGAAGGGCCTGAGACACCCTCTGTGTGAGTCCCCCGATGGGCCTGGGTTTCTGCCTGGGGCACAGAACCCCACCCAGCAGGCAATGCCAGGCTGGCAGCACCAGTGACTGTGAGGAAAGTCCAGATATGAGCTCTGGGATCAGGGCCCCGGGACAGGCCGCCTCCACCCTGGGCACGGGTCCATGGAGACCCGCAAGCACACAGGCGCGTGCCCACACCTGCACGCACACATCACACTCCTGTGTGTGGACCCACAACACACGCAGACACACGCCGCCACCCCAGGCCCACAGCCTGCGCGCACATATTCTCTCCTGCGTGGACGCACGCCCTCACGTGCACCCCCGTGCCACCAGGCCCTGTCTCCCCGACACGCGGCAGGAACCTCCGGGCCTCCCCAGCCGCCGCCTCCCGCAGACGTGCTTAGTCACCTGAACTTGATCCAGGCGGGCGAGAGGGAGGGAGGGAGGGAGGGAGAGCCTGACGTCAGCCCTCGAAGCTGCCTTCCACCGCCCGCGCATCCATCTGGGCCACTGCGTGTCCCAAGCAATCACCACAGCCGCAGCACAACAACAACTTTTACGGGGCCCCTTAGTGGCAGGTCCTGGTCTGAGTGCCTTATGGGCATTCCCTCCTCAGCATCTCACAACGTGTGGTGAGGGGAAACCCCATTATGGGTGGGAAAAACCCGGGGCATAGAGGCGAAGCCACCTGATCAGAACCCCCAGCCAGGAAAGGGTGCAGCCCGGCTGCCTGGCTTCAGAGCCGGGGCATCTGACCAGGTAGCAGGGCTCAGGCTGGGACAGGAGCCTTCTGCCCTGACCTGCTGGATGGCCCCATCCACGGCCCCATCCCCATCCCCATCCCCATCCCCATCCCCATCCCCATGCCCATGCCCATCCCCATCCCCATCCCCATCCCCATCCCCATCCCCATCCCCATGCCCATGCCCATCCCCATCCCCATCCCCTCCATCCCCATCCCCATCCCCATCCCCATCCCCATCCCCTCCATCCCCATCCCCATCCCCTCCATCCCCATCCCCATCCCCATCCCCTCCATCCCCATGCCCATCCCCATCCCCTCCATCCCCATCCCCATGCCCATCCCCATCCCCATCCCCATCCCCATCCCCTCCTGCTGAGCCTCACTCTACCTATCTAAGAAAAGGGAGGAACGGTGTTTAAGGGTGAAAGAGGATGGCCTCTTGCTGGCATGGCAACTTAGGAAAATCAGAGGCAAATTGTATGGCCCCAGGCAGCCTGTGGCTTCTGCCTGTGGTGGCTCTGAGTCCCATAGTCCCTGCTCCAGCCAAAGAGCAGGAGCTCCTGATCTGCAGTTCATTCTCTTCCATGTGCTGGGGCTGGAGGCTGGCTGGGGTTCCATCTCATCTGGCTGCTTTCTCATCTGTCTAATGGGGACAGGGCTGTCACGGTCACTATGGAAACCACTCATTTCTTCAACAAATATTTATCGAGTTCCTATTACACGCCAGGCACTGGTGATCTTTTGGAGACAAGGCAGACAAGAGCCCTAATCTCAAAGCTTACATTCAGGAGGGAAGACAAGGCTTGCAGGGTAAGGGGACTGGGCGGAGGGGTAGGCCACATTCTGGGAGGAGCCTGGCGGGAGGGTGCTGCCCTGCTTTGGCTTCCTCCTCCCTACGCCATGTGTCTGGTTTCCAAGGTCTCCCCAAGCTCCAGTCCCACTCCCTGCTCCTCTCACCTCCTCCGGGGAGCCCTCCCCGTGCC